ATTTTTATCATTGTAGGGTGGTTGTGTCCACACACTGCTAAGACACATTTATATGCAAATGAAGATATTTTGCATCCAATGTCTCCTTTAAAATTAAAATATTATAATCTTTATTCAAGTGATGAAGGATTTCGAAAGTCTGACAGTTATCAGTGTTGAGCACATATTGTAAGTTTAACCCTGCCTGGTTTACATGTTTTGAAAGTGATTAAAAGTTTAAAATATTAGACATTTAGTAAAGTAATCAAAAAGTAATCAAATGTAATCAGTTACATTACTTTAATAAAGTAATTGAAAAGTTACACTACTTATTACATTTTAAGTAGGGTAACTTGTAATCTGTAACCTATTGCATTTCCAAAGTAACCTTCCCAACACTGGTGGTTAGAGTGGTTTCTGTGATCTAGCATACTGTTTTCAGTCAGCTCTGAGGGTGTTGAAAACTGTTTCTTCTCTCCTATATGGCTCTATTGGCAGTATCGCGGTTATTTATAAACTCTTATTTCAAAGTGTGAGATTCTCTATAGCGCTTCAGCAGCGTGTTGTTGATGATGATTTACTGCTGCTGTCTATATATGGCCTGTCCCACTTTCCTGAAAGCCCAACCATCTGTTTTTCTATAAAAACAAAAAGTGAGAATGCCCACGGATGTGCTAAGTATATCACATTAGACTGTAAGGATCATTTTAGAAAAATTTCTGAGGAAAAAGATGCTTGTGAGGAGATGGGTAGGTAGTTGGATGGATGCATGGATGGATGGACTGATAGAACAATATAGATAGAATGATAGATAGATAGAATGATACACTCTAAAAAATGCTGGGTTATTTCAACCCAACTTTGGGTCAAATATGGACTAACCCAACCGTTGGGTTAAATTTTTACATTAAAAATTTAACCCAAAATTTGGGTTAGTCCAAATCTGACCCAAAGTTGGGTTGAAATAACCCAGCATTTTTTAGAGTGTAGATAGATAGATAGATAGATAGATAGATAAAAAAAAAAAAACTTATGCATTATTCATTTAGGGTTTACACCTGTGCGTGCGTGTGTGTGTGTGTGTGTGTGTGTGTGACAAATTTAAAAAGAAAAAGTATTGATATCATAATTATCCCATTCACTCCAGAGGCCCCAAACAACCTGATTGTGATTTAGTTTTTTGTTTTTTTTTACACTAACACACAACCAGATCTATCAAGTGATGTCTCCTGCCATTTAGATGAAGGGAACTTTTTTTTTTTTTTTCAGCAAACTTCAGCACATAAGCACAACAGCACATAAGGGTTATTTATATTATTGTTGTTGTTGTTGATTTCCACTGTCCCATCTTAAAGTATCTTTAATCCATAAAAGCTCGTATGATGTGGTGACTGTTCATAGATTTGCCAAACTGACATTTTCTCAAGACCTTTCAATATGACATGAATAATGCTGGCCTACTGCAATAGTACATAAAAATAGCTTTGATAGTCTAAACTGTTACTGACTTAAATGACCCCCCTGCTTGTGGGTGGAGAAAGACTCTGAGATCAGATGAATATATTGTGCCAGGGTTTGAGAAGAGTCCACATAGACATACCATACTGACAGGTGAAGCATTCTGCCTTTCATGCTCGTGGATGAGTGAAGCCAAGAACACTATATCCAGCTGAACCTGTTCCAGGTGCCACCAATCTGGCTGTTGCATCAGGTCAGAATATGTGAGGGAGCTGAGGCGAGACAGACCATCTGCCGTTGGTCGAAACGAATACATTCATCAGTCAAATGTTTGTATACAGAACCTGTCACATTTTAAAAAGGAACAACATCATGGTCAACATGTTTTCTTTTTATCACAACAAAAGCCCTAAGGTACTGGCAGTGGAAGCAGGCTACTTTCATGCTTCACAGTCTCTTTGTGTAATCAGTCTTTTTAAACAAATGCTCTTTGTATGATATATATTTCTATATACAGGTATTATATTTTATAAATCTTTTTGAGGATGAGAATTTTATTTGTTTGGATTTGACATTGAAGTTAGACTTTTTCCTCCGATACTTTCTTTTACTGAATGCACTTGTCAGGGCTGTGGTAAACCTAACATTAGTCTGTGAGCTGAAGCTAGGTGGGGAAAACATCACTCACTGTGTATACAACTGCAGAACTTGATTCATCATGAACATGATTCATCACAGATCTAAAAGTGATCTTCTGAAAGTGACATGACATGTGGCCAAGTATGGTGACCCATACTTGGAATTAGTGCTCTGCATTTAACCCATACTCATGCAGACTGATGAAGTGCCTCTGCTGATATTTAGTGAGAAGTAGTGTGTTATTTCTACTAATCAATTGCTCACTGTGACTGCAGCAATATTTATGGGGGGCTTTCTGTCTGAATGTGCTCATGTGTATGCGCACTGGGATATTTGTGGGTGCATAAGCCCATTTGAGTGTGTGTGTGTGTGTGTGTGTGTGTGTGTGTGTGTGTACAATCCCTGCCGGTACGAGACTCGAACCCACAACCTTTGGATTATAAGTCTGACTCTCTAACCATTAGGCCACGACTTTCCAACTTCTGTACTCATGCAGACTGATGAAGTGCCTCTGCTGATATTTAGTGAGAAGTAGTGTGTTATTTCTACTAATCAATTGCTCACTGTGACTGCAGCAATATTTATGGGGGGCTTTCTGTCTGAATGTGCTCGTGTGTATGCGCACTGGGATATTTGTGGGTGCATAAGCCCATTTGTGTGTGTGTGTGTGTGTGTGTGTGTGTGTGTGTGTGTGAGAGTACTTGTTTTGACTATTATTCAGTTCAATTCATGTTTATTTGTATAGCACTTTTCATGACACACATCGTCGCAAAGCAGCTTCACAGAAAATGAACGTTTCTACATTACAATGGAATGGAAGTGATAAAAGACTTGTGAGGACCACATGTCCTCACTTACATTGTGAAATACTTTGACAACCCACTAGTGAGGACATTTTACTAGTCCTCACTAGTTAAAAAATAAATAAATCAGCCAAAATATGTTTTTATTTACATCTAGTGTTCTGCACACGTTTCTGTGATGGGTAAATTCAGGGGTAGGGGTTGGGTTAGGTGATAGAAAGTATCATTAACCTGATATAAAATCAGTGGAAGTCTGTGCAATGTCTTCCTTAAGCAAAACAAATGTGTGTGTGTGTGTGTGTTCCAGGTGCCCTGATGAGGTAACAGTTTTTCAACAGTTGTGTATGTATATCTCAGTAATAGTTGATAATGATTTTAAATCTTTAATATCTGGTAATGAATTGATTATGAACAATTAATTATGAAGTTACTTTATTCTCAGATAACTTCAACTAAATACAGTCATAGTTAAAAATAAATAAATCAGAAAAGATAAATCCAACTTAAGTCACAATACAATCAAATAATCTTTTTAATGTCATATTTAATGTTTTGTTACTGAATGTTATCATGAAGTATCCGAAGAATAAAGCAACGTCTTTATAGTTTTGTGAGGCTTTCTTGTGTAACTGTTGCCCCTGACAACCACCGTTGCCATAATCACAGCCCAAGTTCAATGTCAGCTGGAGCGCTAGCACAAACAGCTAATTCTCTTTGCAATGCAAACTAGCCAGTCCCAGCAACACCACAGGCTGGATGAAATGAAAGTTACCTATGCAGAGGGGTTTGCGGGTGGGGTGCAGTTGCAGATCACTTTTATCACCACCTGGATCTGCTGATATGTATGAGACACAAAGACACACACACCACCACCACCAAAATAAATCACACCCTCATTTTATCTCAGTTATTCATTATCATCCCAGACAAGAATTCTGTATCCCATCATTCGTAGCACTAATTCATATACCATTGTTATGGGCATCATGTAAAGGACAAATAATGATGGCTCCACTATTTAATTTTTTTATTTAATTTAATTTTTATATTTTATTTGATTCTATTTATATTTTTTTATTTCAAACCCAAAGCGCTACAACAAAATATTATTGTTGCTTATGTTATTTATTTAGTTGTTGTTTAGAAATGCTGTATCTCATAATTGCACCAATTTGTCACAAAATAACATGCACCATTGTTATGGGCATGCACATGGAAAGAGTATTTTCTTTTTATTTGTTTTATTTTATTTTGCTTTATTTTTATTTATTTTATTTTGAATAACATGCACCATTGTTACGGGCATGCACATGGAAAGAGTATTTTCTTTTTATTTGTTTTATTTTATTTTGCTTTATTTTTATTTATTTTATTTTGCTTTCATTTTAAATTGTTACATTTTTTTTGCTTTGCTTTTTGAAATTTTTTAACAACCCACTTAAAATCACATTTGCATTATTGTTAATTAAAAGGATATTTCTTTTCAGTGTGGAGTTAATTTGATGTGACATTTGCAAAAGCTATATTAACTAGGATGTGTAATGATATTAACTGAAATTCAGTAACTGTTGCCCCTGACAACCACCGTTGCCATAATCACAGCCCAAGTTCAATGTCAGCTGGAGCGCTAGCACAAACAGCTAATTCTCTTTGCAATGCAAACTAGCCAGTCCCAGCAACACCACAGGCTGGATGAAATGAAAGTGAAGTTCAGAGAGCTCTGGAGCCCATGTGAGAAAAGCAAACACAGGCTGTTATGCAGTCAAAGGATTGCCTTCAGCTCAACGGCCGCTTGAGAGAAACCTTTCTAACACTGGCTTTATTGAGGCTTTACTTATGTTACGATGAAGCTGAGATTGCTTTAGCAGACAATTCCCATACTGCATTTCAATTTTAAACCTGTATACAGTAAATCCTCCTCTTCTGGGGACAGAATCTATGCTACAGTAGCTAATTACATTTTTGTTGACATGTAATATGTTTACACATATAATTGCATGGTTTCAGCCTTGTGTTGACTCTTAAACATTACTTAAACTCTTGACATTAAATAATGCAAACAGCATATCAATATAGGAAAAAAAGTGGATGTTTGCAGTATGTCACAAGCTGACGCAATGTTAAGGAGGATGGAAAAATAATAGATTATCTTCATAACAATACCATGAGACATTGTCATGGCAACTGTGGACGTGTGTCACATACAGTATATTGTTGCTGATAAATCAATGAAAGTTCAGTGACAAATAATGTCTTCAATACTTTATTTTTGGGCTATATTTTATTTGGAGCTGATGTTGCTACATAAATGTTTTGCGTTGTTTGTTATTCTTACCTGATTTTCACTTTGTGGTTTATACAGTTTATTGGGTAGTTTATTTTATGACTAGTTGTCTTGTAATAATATTTCAATTGTTGCCATTGATTTGGTTTTATACAGTCAGGTTTAAATGTAAGGTTTTATTGTGTTCATCAAACACATTTTCCCTCTGTATGGATCTTGGGAATTTGTTGTTTTCTAGATGTCTATTGTTAACTTTCATCAGTCAAAAGTCATTATCTGTAGACTGGAGATGGTTGTCATCCTTTACAGGGTATCATGCAACAAATGACCTTAATAAAAACTGGAGATGACCTCAACTGTCCTGATCACAAATCCCACTGTGCCCAGGAATCACAGGTAAAAATGAATCTTCACTTCCTTTTCTCTTTACTAGCATGTTCTCTTTAGCAGGAATAAAGTATTTATGCAACCACCACAACTAACCCAGTCCATGAGAATCAGTCACAACTGCATCTTGATGAATGAAAATCAAATAGTACGTACATTTTTTTTTCTAATTTACTGTTCAAGAGGTAGACTTACACTACTGTGCAAAACTTTGGGGCGGAAAGATCCTTATTTTTTTATGTTTTTGAAAAGCCTCACCAAGGCTGCATTAATACTGTAAAATATTACTGCAATTTAAAATAACTGTTTTTCTATTTTTTCTTTTTTTTGTTACATATTTAAAAATGTTATTTATTCTTGTGCTTCTTAATATTTTTTGTGGAAACTGTAATGCATTTTTTCAGGATTCTTTGATGAATAGAAAGTTCAAAGGAACAGCAATTTAATGCATAAAAATTGCTTTTAAAACCTCATAATTGTGTTCATATTTTCAGTGGTGTGGCATTTGAACAGGACCTGACTGAATGACTGACTGTCTTCCAATAGACCCTTGTACCGCTGGGAGGAGCCACGCAGCCATGCCTCACACCATTTACCGTAAGTTAGACACTCCTCTAAACACCTTGTCACATTCCTCACTTGGGCTATATGTGAACAGTACAGACACACACACACACGCACACATATGCTTAGGAAAAAGAACTATATTGATGATGAGAGAGCTTTCTAGACCAATGCTTGGGGTGAATATGACTCACTGCCCACAGTAGAGTTTAAATAGTTGGTCGTCCCATGAGCTCATGCTTTAGATCTAACAAAATCAAATCACTAAGATCATTATGAATCACTAGTTTAATCTGTTATTCATTTGCATGACTCTTGAAAGAAATTAAAAGGTCTGTTGTCCTGTAAAGTAGTGCATCAGGACCCAGATTTAACTTTAGACATCAAGTGGCAACCTAACTTTGTCCCTATGGTGCTTCCTTACTTTTAGTACCTGTCGGAGATGTCCAAATTACCCCTCTTCATCAGGGTCATAGTGAGGGTCTCTTGCATTTCGTCCGGTCACTGTAGTGGGATATACATTGCTTATGCACTAAGCTGTGTTGTGGAGAGAGGGTGTATAGCACAGCCCATCTCTGGCGACTCTCCAGGTACCGTTCTGTTTTAGTGGCCTTCAGAGTTCAAAGACTGACCATACCTCCTTCTGAAGCGTTCACAGACCGGCCTGCCTCTCTGAAGCCATGCACAACTCTGAAACTCTGCTCAAACTTCTCTGCTGTGTAGTAAGTGTCTCCTTTTATTCTTATACACAACAAATGCTTGAAAGTAAATTTACATTTATTTATTTTGCAGACCTTGTTTTTATTGCTTGTAGCAATAATTGTTTTATTCTGAGTGTGATTTCTGCATTGGAAAACATTCAAATTACACTCTCGGTACTTCTGTCTCAGCAAGCCCCGGTGAACGAGTCTCTCCATTTGTGTTTTGAGCACGGTGTGCATTCTGAGTGTTAGATCGCCCCAGGCCAGGCCTGAGGCCTTTGAAATGAGCGTTATGAGGACAGGAAGAGGCTTTCACGAACCAGAGCTAAACCTCAGATATCCAAGAGCCACTCTTGCTTGTCTTTCTTTTTAGTCTGAATTCAATTTATCTAGTTATACACAAAATCATTTTTACTGAAGAACTTCAGTGATTGTGGTCTAAACCTAGGGTACATTAAAAAAAATATATAATTATTCATACACTACTGTTCAAAACTTTGGGGTTAGTAAGATTTATTTATTTATTTATTTATATGTTTTTATGTCAGTAAAGACATTTATAATGTTAAAAAAAATATTATACTGTTTTTCTATTTTTTCTTTTTTTTGTTACATATTTAAAAATGTTATTTATTCTTGTGCTTCTTAATATTTTTTGTGGAAACTGTAATGCATTTTTTCAGGATTCTTTGATGAATAGAAAGTTCAAAGGAACAGCATTTATTTGAAATGCAAATATTTTATAACATTATAAATGTCTTTACAGTCACTTTTGGTCAATTTAATGCATCCTTGCTAAATGAAAGTATTCAATTATTTTTTTTAAATCTTACTGACTGCAAAATTTTAAACAGTGGTGTATAATTTTTTTTAAATGCTTGTGAAGACATGAAATGTGCTTAATTTAAAGGCATGTTTCTTGTGACTTTCTATAGCGTTGGTTCTATAAAAACATTCCTTATCCAGTGGTGTGATTTTTTTTAAATGGCCTTTTCAGTTAACTGTCATGGAATATCTGTGTACTTGATATGCAAATCCTTGGCTAAAAGAAGATATCAATGGCACATGAATTTATCACTGCAATATAATTGCTTCAAAAATGTTTGGTTGGAAATGTGGCTGTAGATTGTGTGTTTTTCCATTATGGAGATCTAGGGGGCCATGAATCAGTCAACATCAGTGTACTAACTTTATGAGCAGATAAAACTCAATTTACTTTGCTCACAAAAGTGTCATTCAAGAGACGCTCTGTTTCTGATCACTGCTGTCTGGAAATCTCTTAGTGTTTCATTTAAAATCCAGACAGACATAAACAAGAGGATATATTAAACATGGGTTGATTTGAGGGTTTATGTACATCATTGATATTGTGAACCGTACTATATTCAAATATGTATGTTTCTGTTCAATCTTATTTCAAGGAAGAAGATGTGGCAAAAGGAGTAAATGTTGCTGTCTCTGGTTCTGAGTCTGTTGCCATGGTGGATATGGAAGATAAAAATAAAAAGGTGAAGACTGACACAGAAAGATACATTCATCAGTGCCAACGTATGATGTCATTTCCTTTGTCACCTGTCGATTTAAGCGGGCCAAGGGCAATTTCAGATTCGCAGACACTAGCAAATGGATCTTTGGAAAGACTATCCAAATTAGAGATGGCAGTATTGAGGTGCCATGTTGATTCTGCATATGAAACGAAATCTGAATGGACTGAAGCCTCTAGTTTTGACCAAGAGAAGGCAGGCGGAGGTGGGATATACAAGAAAGAGACCTTCAATTCCTCTCTCACGGTCCAGCCCACCAAAACATCTCAACCATTTATTTCTCCAGAGAACACAAGCATGCTTGACCCTGAACACAAGCCTGAACCTCGGACCAAGAGCTTGAGAAATATCGATTCTTCAGCAGGTAGTTACGTTTCGCAGTCCGAAGAGTCTTCCAAGATGAGCACTGAGGTCAAATCAGAGGTCAAATGTCAGACCAAAAAGGAGCCCTTGCAGACACTACAGTCATCTGTCTCAACTCTGAAGAACAGTACAGAGCTTACCATTTCGATGAACACAAAGCCAGTGGAAATATCAAATGTCTATCCGACTGATATTTTAGATACAGTCTATGACGCGTCACGGACAAAATCTGTTAAGGATTCAATCACAGCGCCAAGTGGTTCACCTCGAAACCTGACCAGCGTAACCATGGAAACCAGCACCAGGAGCGCCTCAGTCAATAAAGTAAAGTCACAGGAGAAGAATAAAGAAATCAGAGCGACTAGTCAACCCACGACACCGATGCGAAAGCAACCTGTAGCAATTACTCAGCAAATGCCTTTTCATCAACCTGGAAGTCCCAATGCTGAAAGAGAGGAAGCTAGTACTGCACTGAGAGAGAGCGAGCAAGAACAGATTAAAGATACAGATGAGACTCCACAAATTAGACAGGATGATCTCAGTTATAGAAGTGAGCAAAAAGCCCCTGTGATTGAAGAATCAGAGACTGATGATTGTTATTCAGGTGATATTGCTGCCTGTCCAGTTCGTCCTACCACTGTGCCAAATACAACAACAGAGACCCACTGTAAGTAAAAAAAAAAAATCTGAATGCAAAAAAAAGTCATTTTTTGAAGCTGAAGTGTGTACATTTTAAATTCCATAGTATTTTATCCTACCCAAAATTAATTTGCATGTAAACCATTTGCCTAGTCTGTTAATTCCACAAAATGTGAGAAAAATATTTAATTTAATTTAATTTAATTTAAATTGTATTGTTTATTATAAAATATATTTATAATACTATATTATATTTGTTTATATATTTTTTGCTATTTTGGTGTGGAGATAATTTCTTACAGGGGAAGGTGAAAACAGACAAGGATTCTCTCTGAAGCCCTAAGAAATGCAGATGTACAATATGAAAATAATGTCTAATTTGGCTCTTTCGTTTACTCAGCCAATCAGATGCACAGAAAAATAAACAGAGACGGAGGTTTAGTACACACAACGGGTTTCAGAGGCCCAAGGGTAAGAAACTCACTTATCTCTCTAATAATTCATTAATATTCCATTTTCTTTGCATTGATGTTTGTTACTGAAATGAAAGGCTTTATTATCGATTGATAGTGCTGTATGGTTTACATACTTTAAATTGCTAATGGTGTTTATGAGTCTCTGCCAGGTGTACTAATATATTGACAACTTCATGTATCTGTTCCACTTTTAAATGAGAGAGAAATGCAGTGTTTCATAGAAGGTTAAAGAAAATCATTACAGTCTTACAGATATGAAGGATTCTATCATATATTAACCTTGAAGACAGAATATCAATATAGCTAGATGGTTGTTTTGAAGAAAAATCATCTTCTCTATTTTCTAATACTGCAATTCTCACCCACATGGTCATCTCAGGCCCATTGCTAGCCTTTATAGGAAATTGAGTTTGCAGAGGCATTATTCAATTAAGTGTGGAGAAGAGGAGAAGGAGGGTCATTTACCTCCAGTGAATGGAGCTTATGAACAAGAACTGACTCATTGTATGACACTGAGAGAGAAATATCATCCTTCAAAGAGGAACAGAATTACAGGAATTATTTAATAATACCAGTGCTAGAGAGAGAGAGGGTGGGGGTGGGGGGCAGTACTGACACCAAGTACCATTTTTAACAATTTTAGTGTATTTACTGCACTTCTTGTACATTAAACTGTCAACCTGTTTATTTCATGCATATGTGTTATGCAAATTCTAAAATGCTTAAGCAATGTTATATGTGACCCTGGACTACAAAACCAGTCATAAGGGTCAATTTTTTTAAATTGAGATTTATACACCATCAATAAATACAATAAATAATATAATAAAACCAGTCTACATCAATAAATACTTTCCATTGATGTGTGGTTTGTTAGGATAGGACAATATTTGGCCGAGATACAACTATTTGAAAATCTGGAATCTGAGGGTGCAAAAAAATCAAAATATTGAGAAAATCGCCTTTAAAGTTGTCCAAATGAAGTTCTTAGCAATGCATATTACTAATCAAAAATTACGTTTTGATATATTTACGGTAGGAAATTTACAAAATATCTTCATGGAACATGATCTTTACTTAATGTCCTAATGATTTTTGGCATAAAAGAAAAATCGATAATTTTGACCCATACAATGCATTTTTGGCTATTGCTACAAATATACCCAAGCGACTTAAGACTGGTTTTGTGGTCCAGGGTCACATATTATATTACTGTCAACTTGCATTACTGACAGTAAAAAGAGAGATTTAGTAGCAGCGAAGCAACATTAGCTGAACACCTGCGCCCCCCTGTGGTTGCAGAGTGTCTGTACATAACTGTTGTCTATAGATAGATAGATAGATAGATAGATTATAATACACATATTCAAATATATTATATTATATTATATTGATTTTTTTAGGAATATCGAGGCCCACCTGGCTTGTCAGGTCCTCCAGGTGAAAAAGGAGACAAAGTATGTATTAACCATTTATGATTATTGTAATCATATTTTTAATAAATCTTTTTTTTATATATAAATTTTTCAGTCAAATAGTGACTTTAATGGGTGTTTGGGTGTCACACAGGGCTATGCGGGAGTGATGGGCCGGACGGGCCGGACAGGGTACAGAGGACCGATTGGACCACCCGGCATGCCTGCTATTATAGTCTGGTACACATCAGAAGAAGAATGGCAAGCACTCAAGGTGCGTAAAAATATTTTTGCTAATTTTTTATTGTTATATTTTGCTACCATTTATTCTGTTAACAAAAAATTCAAATAGCTGATTCTGTGAATAGTTGAAATTCAAATGCTGCCTACATCCTTACAGTCCTCGAAAACACTGTGTGGTTCTTATTTAGAAGTTTCATTTTGCTTCCAGAAAAATAAATTCTATAAAAAACTGGTGTCATCGTGGCCGGTGAGTTAGTCTGTTCGACCCCTAATAAGAGCTTTATTTGAGTTGCATCAGTACAATGCAGATTGAAATCTTTTTTTTCCCTTTTCTTTAGAGAGTGAAGGGATTACCAGGAACTTTGGGACCACGTGGAGATCCTGGACCACCCGTAAGTATTATATATATATATTATTTGACATGTCATCTCCATTTTTTTGTCCATGTAATTTCCACACACTGACAATGTCAGTGATAATGGAACCAAATTCCTAATGCGCTCTGTATGTGATATTATGATATTTTTACAGTTTATTTATCTATTTTCAGGGGCCCCCTGGAGTTCCAGGCAAACAGGGGAGAAAGGGAGAGCAAGGGATACTTGTAGGTATCTCTGTTTCCTCTCTTCATCACACAATCATCTCTGGCAGCGGAAAAATGCTAGGTCATTGTTACATAGAGAAACATGGTGTGTGATTTCATTAAATTGTGATCAGACCATGTGGAGACATAGATGGGTTTGAAAGAATTTGACAAGCTCAGTGGGTCAACAAGCACAAACAAGCATGAAGTCAACAAGAGTCACATTGTTCAGACTTCAGCTGATTCAAAAGCGAAGACACTATGTTTGACTCATGCAGGCTTGTTGCCATTCAAATCATAAGAGCAGTTTAATCTGTGGCATCAAGGGAGAAGTGTGATCAAGATGACATTCATCTGAACTTCTGTTGGCTGCCTCCTCATTTACAGGCTTTTATTTAACCGGTTTTATAAATCTTACTCATCCCATCTTCTCATAATACAACCTGCCATTGATGATGAGTAGCAAACCATGTTTCTTGACTGTGATGTAAACTAAACACTGGCTAATTTAAAAGAAAAGAAAACTTTCTGTTTCAAAAGGAAATACAACAACAGCATAAAGAAAACACTCTTGGATATCATTTTCTAAGATCAATTTTAGTTCAGGTGAAATGTTTTAATTAAGGTTCTTTTTTAAATTAAAAGTAAAGTCCAAGTGAATATAGCTCTGTTGCATTCTATTATTAACTTAATCCGGTCAATAAATGTGGTTAATCTTACCTGATGAGTATATTTTGCATCTGTCTGGTATGTGATTGCTTCTTCTAACAGAGTTGGGCTATATGGCAGTAATGCTTCATTCTGAGTGGTTTTAAGAGATTTATTTTCAGGAAGATTCCAAGTAAAGAACTATTGTGAAAAAAGTCCTTGTTAATGCTAAAAAGCTTAAATGAGGTATGGATCTGTTCTAGAACGGATCTGTTCTATATCGAATCTCTGCAGTATATATATAAATGCTGATAAGGAGACTGAACCATGTGCTATACTATCTACAGTGAGTATAGAAAATAATCAACCCCTTTAAAATAATCACATTTTGTTGCTTTGCAGCCTGAATAGCAACAGTGATTCTGTTTTTTTTTTTTTATTGTTTTTTTTTTATGACATGTTGGTGTCATGTCTATAACTTGGATGTGTAAACACAGCTGGATAAAACAAAAACTGTGTCCGTCTTCATTTCAGGCTGCAAAGCAACAAAATGTGATCATTTTAAAGGGGGGTGATTCTTTTCTATACCCATTATATATCTTTTGTCATGCACTAGGGAAGAATAGGTCCAGTTGGAATGCCAGGGCCACCTGGTAGACCAGGACCAGAGGGCACAGCTGGGAAGGACGGGGAGAAGGGCCCAACAGGAACACCTGGGGAGGATGTAAGACTTATGGGAATCTTAAATGCTCTATATGCAACTTTTCAAAGTGATTTAAAGGGGTCATATGATGCTGCTAAAAAGAACATTATTTTGTGTATTTGGTGTAATGAAATGTGTTTATGTTTAAGGTTCAAAAAACACATTATTTTCCATATACTGTACATTATTGTTTCTCCTCTATGCCCCGCCTTTCTGAAACGCGTCGATTTTTACAAAGCTCATCGGTCTGAAAAAGCGAGGTGTGCTCTGATTGGCCAGCTATCCAGTGCGTTGTGATTGGCCGAATACCTCAAGCGTGTGACGGAAATGTTACGCCCCTTACCATATTGTGATGATGCCCTGTCAGGCCGGAGCGATGATTCAAAACATGAAAACCCATTATAAACGAGGCATTCGTTGCATCCAGTGGGGACATAATTATGGATTATAATGACTTATACTGTCTTTTTATGCGTTGCGTTGTGTTATGCAAATCTTCCCACATAGTGATATGTGGGGGCGTGTTAGAACGAGCCATTTTAGGTAGGTGTGGCTGACTCTTAACTTTTATAAAGAATATCTCTTTGGATTTGAGACTTTAGTCTTTGCAACTTTACAGGTCTTCTTTATGCACCAAGAGCTTGTAACACTCCAAAGAGAAAGTAAAAATTGAAATCGCATCATATGACCCCTTTAAGTTATAGTAGTGTTAAATATGTTGTAGTAGTCTGCCTATAATTGCATATATTTGTCTGTGTGTGTTTTTCTGTAGGGCCCAAAAGGTTATGCAGGAGAGAAAGGCAGTAAAGGGGAGCTGGGTGAGTGGGTAAGAATGACCAGGATTTTTCTATGGATAATGCCATAACTAGGCCCTCATGGAATCTGTGCTTACACAACTCCAGTGAAAACTGCACCATTTCCACAGAATTGGAACTTCCATCATGCATTAAATTCTACAAATCCTCTGATGCTTTGTGCCAACTAATTTGACTATTGGCATTTTATAATATTAAATATGTTCTGCAGAAGTCTGCAAATTCCATTTGGGCCTAGCCATAGCATAACGTAATCTAAATATCCAAGATCAAAACAGAAGTCCACCACTGTCCACGCAGTGTGTTTATTTGACATTTCAGCCATAAATCAAAACAAGTGATTGATTCTCTCACACTCCATATTCCATTATTCACATTTAAAGAAACGGTATCTGATGTGTTCAGGGTGATCTTGGCGAACAGGGGCCTCAGGGAACCAAAGGAAGAAAAGGAGAGATGGTAAAATGTTGCTCTTGCTCTCCAGACTTTCACTAGCTATGTATGATAAAATGTATGACCAGCCAACTCTGTTTCTTTAGGGGAGAAAGGGACAGAAGGGCCTAGCAGGGGTAGTAGGATATATTGTGAGTGACATCATACTTCTGAATGTGTATTATTTCTTTATGAGGCAGTTATTCTGTCTGTCTATATATACAGTACAATACCATTCAAAAATTTGAGACTGATATTATATCGCCTGATAAGAGCATATAGTCTCTTATGCTCACCAAGGCTGCATTTATTTGATCAAATATGCAGTAAAAACAATAATATTATGAAATATTATTACAATTTAAAATAACTGTTTTCTATTTTAAAATATTTTAAAATGTAATTGATTCCTGTGGTTGCAAAGCTGAATTTTCAGCAGCCATTACATGAAGATATTAAGGTCAAAATAGTTCTATGACATTCTTAATCAAACAATATATTTTCCATTCACAGGGGCCACCTGGACCTAGAGGACCACAGGGATTCATGGGCCCACCTGGTCCACCGGTATGTGCTAAATTATCATTTTATTTTCCCATATAAAACATACAAAAATGATGAGCAAATTTGTAGTTTATTTTTTTAATGATCTCTGTCACAGGGACAGACAGGGGGGCTTGGGTTCACTGGATCACCAGGACCACCAGTATGTTACAAAAACTTAATTAAAAAAATGTAAAAAACAAATGTAATAAAAAAAAACTTAATTACTTAATTATTCCATATCATCTTTCAATTCTGACATGTTCAGAACTTGACCTCTGACCTCTTTTTAAAGGGTCGCACAGGACCGAGAGGGTTGAAGGGAGTTCCAGGCGTCAACGGACCCCCTGTAAGAAACACTCTGGTTTTTACAAACTTCAATCCAATAATTTTAACTCTTCTTAAACAACATAATTCCAGTAATCACAAATAACTAGGAAAGTCATAGAGATTCGTAAGTCAAAAGGTGTAGGAAAATTGACTAATACCTAATGCTGATTCTCTTTTATAGGGACAACTTGGTGAGATGGGGCCAAGGGGACCACCTGGCAAACCAGTAAGTCAATGTTTTATTTCCCCAAAAAAATCCTAAAAACTAAAGAGATTAGTCATATGCCATTATATATTACAGGGAGAGGAAGGGCCTGATGGTATTATCGGTATTCCTGGTGTTCCTGGACCACAGGTGCTGTGGATTATACATTTTAACTTTTGCTTTACATCGTGTATTTATGTACTCTTGGTCACCATGATTACATGCATATTATTTAACAATTAGGATCCATATTCTGGTTAATCAGTTATTCTGAGATTTCTGAAGTTTCAGTCATAGTCTCATATAATTGCTTTCATATGGACATATGGATATATAAATGAACATTGCAATCATGCTGGAAAATGTGGAATATGACCAAATGCTTAATCTGAATATTTATTTGCATGTCAGTGTAGTCATTGAGTCGGTTCTTGTCTCCTTCCTCTCCTCTCTCAAACTACTACAACTTCTGTTCATCTAACTAGACTCATTATCTTCCATTATCTATTCAGGGAAAACCAGGTGGCAATGGACCACCAGGTCAAAAAGGAGACCCTGTATGTGCATCTCGTGTCATTTCATAAAAGCTTTGAAATTACAGTCGCATTTAAAATCTCATTTTGATTTTCCCACATTTACCTGAGGCATATGTATTTCTTATTCAAACAGGGAGATACAGGAATTGAGGGAGACATTGGGAGTCCAGGACCACCGGGTATAAAAGTAAGCCTGCGGGTCACTCTTCATCAAGAATTATAAATTATTAACAATCTCTTTAGATATCTCTCATATTCTTTTGATACCTCAATGCACTTCTATGGTAATGCATCAACATACATAAAGCCACATTCTTGTTTCAGGGTGCCAATGGAAATCCAGGAAAACATGGACCCTCAGGTGATCCAGTAAGAATATTTCAAACAGATCCTTAATATTTTATATGTCTGATTGTTGTGAGACACTATATTTTAGACTGGGTTTTCTTTTGTAGAGGCTGCTGGTAAAGCAATATATTTATTTCAGTGTGTAGTTAGTAGTGCTACACAATTAATAGAAAATAAAATCTAAATTGTGATGTTGGCTCTTCCAATTATTAAAGCTTCAATTCTAATATCGAATTTCAATGTAAATTATTCAAATATACTTTCAGTGTGTTGCAGTGACGGCGCTACACCGGGGCTGGGGGGGCTATAGCCCCGTCAGAATTTTGAATAGCCCCGGTTAAGCCCCGGTTTACTCTGACGTCATCAATATCATTTATTTTCTTAGCACCCCCACATATTGGTCTAGCCCCCCCTTAGCACCGGTAGAGAAAAAATTCTGACGCCGTGCCTGGTGTGTTGTGAAAGTGAGCACATCACTCTATTTTATTTACTAGAGAAAATTATGTAATGATTTTGGGATAATTGTGTTTGCTGTCTATCTGTAAACATCAGGGTCTGAAAACGCAGCGTGGAATGAAAGGAGATCCTGGCCAAAAGGGAGATCAAGTGAGTTCACTAACATATTTGCAAAAGCCAGATGCACACTGTTTTAAGACTAAAAAAACCCTGAGAACTAGACATCAAGGGAGAACATTTTGAAAGAACTAATCTATCTTTTCTTATCTCTGGCTTCTCTTTGTCAGGGTCCTCCGGGGTTGCCAGGCAAACAGGGATTCAGAGGCAGAGGAGGGTGGTCTGGTGTACAGGGAGAGATTGGCCCTACTGGACCTGCTGGTTTACCAGGGCCCACGGTAAGCAGCAGCTACTTTTAACCGGTTAAAAACTGTCTCATTGAAAGCCAGTCACTTAGTCATTGTATTGCTTTTTCTTCAGGGCTATGATGGTCCTATTGGAGATCCGGGGAGAGAGGGAAAAGATGGACTTAAGGTACAGTACTGTCATTCTCTGTTTGTCAAAGGAATCTATCATAATGCGCTATTACAGTTATCTTGTATATAAATGGCATCTTTAGGGAGAGAGAGGCCCCCCTGGTATCCAAGGTGTTCCTGGAACACGAGGTGACAAGGTGATAATTGCTCAAAATGTCTTCTTGACAAGAGTCATATATTAGATTTCTCATACATAAACAATTTCAATAAGATTATTTTACTTCAATAGAGTCGGACTGGCCAAGGGGGATTTGCTGGTTTTCTAGGACCTTTGGTAAGTATGATTTCTTAAATAAAGCTGCAAGACATAATTACAAGGGCAAGAACACCAATTGTTGAAATGAAATCATTGAGTAGATTTGTTTTATCATAGCACCCCTAGTGGTAATTTTAGAAAAAGTACTTCAGATTCCACTGAGCGGTACGGTTCGGTACAGTACAGTACGGTACGCAATTATTTCCGTTTGCACTGTCAGAAGTTGTGAATGGTACCAAAATAGCTAACCGTACCTTTCCACTTTTTTGGTACCCTTCCGTTGGGGTACCTAGCACAGCAAAGGGTACCAAAAGGGTGGAGCTAAACTCACCGCAGAACGTTGATTGGTTGACTAGAATCATCACTTTTGCGTGATACAAGGGGATAAAGCTTCCCCTTCACTCGTCCCGGTCTGCTGTCAATGAGTATTGGGCTCATTTACATCAGAGTGCGCAAACACAAAAAAAATATAACCGTGTATTTTATAATTTTATATTTTCACACAGACAATATCCGTTTCTCAATATGCGTTCTTGTCTGTTCTTGTGGACTTGTGAAACGTCATTGCCCAAAAACCCGTGTAATTTTCTAAATATTACTGTTATTGTGTCATGAAATGTTGTTTTAAGAGTTTTTCAGAAAATTAGAAAAAGAATTTGAAAATTTGCGAGATACAATTAGTTTTGGGTTGGCTATATTTAACAGGCATTCGTGGTCTCATGAATCTATTATTTGTTCCTGGTCATATCGTTTTGGCTGAGCACAAAGTTATGTTTAACTTTATATATTTAATTTGAACTTTACCGTAGTACAGCGCTGACTTTGTAGCATACGTTTGACTGAACGGTTTGCTTTTGTCTTTATTTCCTCTTATATAAGCCTCTTATACTTTGTACTTATACTTTTATAATGGCTATTATTGTAAAACGGACATTTAACAAAAAGAGGCAGAGTTGTGCTTATTGTCGCGGTTCATCGTCAATCGCTACTTTCCGGCATACACCACGCCTACCAAGGGTACTACTGGAAGTGGAAACGCAAGCCTGATCAGGGTTACCCATACCGAATCGTACTGTACTGAACTGTACTGTACCGTACCGCTCAGTGGAAACGAGCCAAAACTCTATGCACAGCTTCAGCTTTTTTAGTATCATTGATATACTACTATAATTTTTGTTAATATTTTGAAGTAGATTATATTTTAATAATTATTGTTTTAATAATTTTGTTGTGTGTTTTTGTGATTTTTTTATTCGTTTTTTTAATATGTCTATATAGTTTTTAGTTTTAGTTCAGTAGATTTACCATTACCTATGGCTATTACCTAAACCCACTGTTACGTTTGACCAGTAGGTGGCACTGTAAATAAATTTACATGGTATTTACAGACCACTGTGGCAATAATACACTTCACCAAAGGTTATTTATTTATTTAATTTTTCATTACCACAATTCTGGGGCCTATAGACTTTAAATTATTAAGAAAACTAAAAAATATTCATATTCAAATATAATTTCATAAAATTCCAAACAATTTTTTTATATTACATGACACCCAGTTCTTTAGATCAGACTTCATCCAAATTTGGATATTTATTTTTTTCTGTGCTCTTTTGTTGCAATTGGCAGTGAATTTTATGTGACTAGTTCAGTCTTGATAGTTTTTTTTAAATATATTGTGTTGTGTTCTGTTTTCTAAAAAATAAGAAAACAGATGCCTATGTACCTTGGCCAAAAGAGAGAAACCAAATGTTTGTTTTATAGGGTGAGATGGGAAAATCAGGAGAACCAGGACCTGAAGGAGAACCCGGTATTAAGGTTCCCTTGTACATCAAATCATTACCTTTTAAATACAAATATAAAACAATTCATGCAATGACTGGCATTATTTGGTAAGGTTTGATCATGATTTCCTCGTTCCTTTGGTCAGAATTATTTCGGTTACAACAGTAAATCTCATTCACACACAAGGCCTAATTAACCCTATATATCAGGTTGCTTGCATTTTTCATTTTTTAATGGGACAGGGTAGACCAGGAGTCCCTGGAGGAACCGGATTTAAAGGTCAAAAGGTAAATTGCCAGCATAGGTACAACAAACAGCATAGCATTGATTAACTACAGCATTGACTAAGGTGGATTATCATGTTATCTTATCTAAGTCATGATGTTTATCATCATTTAGGGACTGCAGGGTGTTTCAGGGAGTAGAGGACAGGATGGCACTCACGGAGCACCTGTAAGAGCCACACATACACAGTTTTATATAGAATGTCCTGTTAGTTTGCTTCATTAGCCATTAAGAGTAAATTGTGTTATAGGGATCTGTTGGACCACATGGATCAGATGGAGATAGAGGACCTCAGGGTCCCCGGGTAACACCTTGTCTTATTTTCTTTTATGCTTTGTTAGACAATCTTTGCACTGAGATGGACAAAACAACTGATTAAATATGATGTCTGAACAGGGTTTACAGGGAAGGAGTGGTGCATCAGGAATCCAAGGTCCCGTTGGAAAAAGTGTGAGTTTTATTTTCCTTTCCTGGATTTCCAAACTCTTCAGTCTCTTAGTTATGTAACTCTCCATCTTGTGGTATATTTAGCTGTTAAAAATGTTATAGTTTGCCAATTCTGACATTACTGTCTAAGAATATGACCTCCAGCACAATGCTATTAAATAACTTTTTAAAGGGGGAACCAGGGAGCCGGGGTCTTGCTGGCAGTTCTGGAAAGCCTGGAATCAGAGTAAGTAATGATTTCATAAAATTCCAAACAATTTTTTTATATTACATGACACCCAGTTCTTTAGATCAGACTTCATCCAAATTTGGATATTTATTTTTTTCTGTGCTCTTTTGTTGCAATTGGCAGTGAATTTTATGTGACTAGTTCAGTCTTGATAGTTTTTTTAAAATATATTGTGTTGTGTTCTGTTTTCCTCAGGGTGTCAAAGGCAGAGAGGGTTCAGTAGGGTTTCATGGCAGTCATGGGGAGAAGGTTAGTGTTTTTTTTTAATGTATCAGTCACGTCATGTGATGCACCATATGATGAAAAAATGTAGTGCAATAAAAAGCTGAAAACATTATTAGCCACATTTAACAGAAATCAGCAGCAGAAGCAAAAGTTTCCTTTCATTCTTGCATTTAAATCAAACCTCCTTTCATTCACAAGCCACATGTTCATCTGTCTGTTCTCTTCTTATAATTTATATCCAAATGCATTTGACAATCTTTTCATTTGATATTAGGGGAAAAATGGCCCTGAGGGGCCCAAAGGAAAACCCGGTCAGCAAGTAAGTGCCTTATAGGTTATATATACAGTATATATATATATATATATATATTCCTCATTCATTAACATTTAAACATTAGGCTATCAATTTCTCTATTTAGGGTCCTCGAGGCCTACCAGGAGAGAAGGGCTACAAAGGACCTGCTGTAAGACATACATGTAACACACATGCACTTTTTTGGACTCTTTTTGCCATGATGCAATAGCAGTAATATTACTATGTGTTTATCCAGTGTGTAATGATGAAACATTTGTAAATGTAATCTTCTAAAGGGCCCACAAGGAAATATAGGCCAGTGGGGTGAGACAGGTCTGCAGGGGCCGGTAGGAAATCAAGGGCCCAGAGGACCACCTGGGCTGCATGGAGTGACTGGGTACCCAGTATGTGTTTTTGGTTTATTTGGTTTATTGTTGCGAGGACTATGGGCAAGGTTTCAGCTTTAATCCCATATTGTATTCTTTGACTTTCAGGGTAAAGATGGACTACCTGGACCCCTCGGACCTCCAGGAGATAAGGGCAATAAGGTGGACTGTTTTTTGTTTTTCTAGTTTTATCTTCATTATAATTATGTAAAATGTATTGGTTCTTCCATTGTGGCTTTGTATGAGACCTTTTGTTTATAAATGTATTGGCCAAAGGGACTGAGAGGAGCCAGTGGACTGAAGGGAGTTGCCGGTATTGATGGTGAGGAGGTAGATTGCTTATAAATCTTGATTATGTACGGTAGTTTGTCTAATCGATCAATATGAAATTCTGCTTTTATAAATATTCATATAATGCTAAAATATATGATTTGATTCTCCTAAATAGTTTGTTTGAGAACTGTCTACATTTACACTACCTTTTAAATGTTTGGGTCAATAAGGATCATGTGACACTTAAAGACTGGAGTAATGGCAGCTGAAAATCCAGCTTTGCCATCACAGAAATAAATTACATTTAAAAATATATTAAAACAGAAAACAGTTATTTTTAGTTGTAAAAATATTTACACAATATTACTGTTTTTACTGTATATTTGAGCAAATAAATGCAGTCTTGGTGAGCATAAGAGGCTTCTTTCAAAAACATTTAAAAAATATTTTGAACAGTAGTGTATATTTACAGTACTTAGTATTATCATAAAAGTTCTGATTATGAAACATCTCATATGTTCCATACATGCAGAAATAGGCTATACAAACATCATTGGGGAAGCTGAGGGATGTCTTGCATAACAATACTTAAATGTGATCTAAATTTATATTACCAGCTGGTTCTAATGCAGTGACATACTTCATGAAATCCGGAGCAAAACCGAGCCACACTGAGGACTACAGTTACCTCACTAACTCCAATCAGGGCCAGTCACTGTCACCATGGCAACCTAATGTCACATCCCTTTGTTCACTCACTTAACACCTGACATGACCCTACAAGATAGGTGTAAATTAAACTGGAACTGGCAGAGAAGATAAAAATATGAAACACATTCAAGGTTTATGTGAAATCACATGACTACAACTATAGATTGCAGTGTTCCATTTAGAATAATAAACTCCTGTCCATGTGTTTCCTGTGTTTTGGAACACGGTAGCTAGTTTCTAACTGGTCATGCTAAACCAAGCTTGGTAGCTGGTTTGCTGATTGCCCAAGATGATCCACCAGTGTGGACCTATTAGAAACCAAAACACATCGACCTGGTGAGCATAAGAGGCTTCTTTCAAAAACATTAAAAAATCCTGGCAAATTTTTAGTGGTAGATAAATTGTATTAAATAAGATGGGTAATTTTTTTTTTAGGGCCCAATGGGTGAAACTGGACCAGTTGGACCAGTAGGAAGTAAAGGCTTGCCTGTGAGTACAAATTCTCTGTTGCTATATGTTTGCCATCTCCATTTCATATATGTACGTTGTGTTATGGTGTTTTATGTAAATGATACACAGGACAGAACTGTCGGTTGTAGGGTGAGAAGGCTAAAGAAGGATCTTTTGGTGATCGTGGCCCAAAAGGAATCCAAGGAGAGAGTGGAAATCGAGGACCACCTGGAGTCAAAGGACCAAAAGGACAAGAAGTAAGAATATTGATTAGATTTTTTGATTATGTCTTACCATAAATTATTAACAAAAAGATGTTGAATGTTTGTTTTTTGTCAGGGGTCGAGTGGTGCCCCGGGGCAGAAGGGAGATCCTGGATCCCCTGGTGAAAAAGTGAGTTTTTTGATGAAGTTTGCACAAGTGTTTGAGTGAAATAGTCAAATGCATTGTAATATTCTTATTATTGACATGTTTCTGAGTGTTTTTGTTTTTTGCTCAGGGTCAGCCAGGTGTGAGAGGTCACTCGGGTTTGGTTGGAAAATACGGTCCTGGGGGGAACATGGGAGAATCTGGTGAAAAAGGCGACAAAGGTCTATGTGGACTTGTTGTGAGTACCACTTCCTCTTTTACAGCCAATGAAGCTAATGAAGAAATAGATTTATTTAGTTTATTTCAGTGTTCTATGGATATCATAGGGCGCGACAGGAACAAATGGGCCTCCAGGTCCAAATGGTGCTATTGGGTTACCGGTAAGTTAGGTTTGATATATTTGATGTATGTGATTAGATGTGATGTGAATTGGCATTAATTTATTCCATTCAAATTTAGGGTTTGCCAGGAAAAGAAGGATTTGTTGGAAAAACTGGAAAACATGGACCAAAAGTATGTTTTTTAATCTTTTTTACTGATGTCATGTGATGCCATATTTACCAAAATATCTTTTTTTTCTTCTTCTTTTTTTTTTTGGTATAAAATACATTAGATGATCACTCTGAGTTATTCACCTATGACTTACTGGTGATAGGATGGGATAAAAGGTATGCTCTGTCACACTATCATAGGAGTAAGTGCCTATGTTATTTTTGTCCCCTGTAGGGAGAGCCTGGAGTTAAAGGGAATCCAGGCGGCCATGGGAAGATCGGATCAATTGTAGGTTTTTACCTTTGAAGATACATGGTTGAAAAAGGTTGTCTGGTCCTGCTGACCTGAATTTTTTATGTTGTTTACAGGGTGTTTCAGGTCCAAGTGGGAAGAAAGGAGAGCCTGGAACAAGAGGCATAATGGTGAGATAACACTTTACACCCAGATTGGTTTCCAAATTAAATAACAAAATATGAAGCATTTGCCATTCAAAACAGGAAAAAGACATTTCACAGTGGTATACATTCAAATTTACAGTGTTTAAATATTTAAATGAGCTATACTCCTTTTTAGGGACCAATGGGTCAGCCAGGAGCTGTGGGTCCTCATGGACTAAAGGGAAAACCAGGATCTTCAGGACCTCCAGGGGAAAAAGGATTCAAGGGTCAACCAGGGCCAAAAGTCAGTGGCTCAATATTTTACAGAAGTATCATTGAATCTTGTCATACGTTACTGCATGTTTTATGACTAGAATATGTTATTCATTATTATATTTTACTGTAATATCTGCACCAAAAACACATTACAACAAGCCCACCCAGAACAAGTGTTTTTGTGATTCTTTCACACAGGGAATGAGCGGTTCTCCCGGAAGGAGAGGAAGTAAAGGTGTTTCAGGAAAGCCAGTGGGTTCATGCATTTTTTTAGACTTTTTACCTTGATAATCTATAGCTTTAATGCAATTATTTCATATTTTGCCTACACAAACAAATAAAACATTCATGCATATGATTTATTATTATCTAGGGACCTCAAGGACCAAAAGGGAAACATGGCCATCCTGGTCTCCCTGGAAAGCTGGCAAGTATCCTTAATACAAATGTCTAAACTCTTCTGACTATTATATGATTGTGCCAAATGTGATTGTCTTTTACACTAACTCTATTTAAGGGACGTAGTGGTACAGATGGCCTGCTTGGAGTTATAGGCACTGAGGGCGACCCAGTGAGTAGCTTGACCTTATTCACTATTCACATTTTATAGTGGTGCTAGCCAATGCAAAACTCGCTACCACAATGCTAAGGTGTTGCGGGTGGTTCCTATGAAGTTGCTAAGGTGTTCTGAATGGTTGCCATGTGGTTACTAGGGTGTTTTGGGTCATTGCTGGGATTTCTGGCCCAAGCAGTGTAGAATCGTTTTATGGCAAATGGCAGATTTAGCATGAAAGTGAGCATTTACTACCTTATTGCACAAATTCCAGGGTGACATTGGATTCCGAGGACCTCCAGGGAAACCAGGTCCTTCAGGTAGTGCTGTAAGTAAGTTTGTTTTATACAGACTATTTGAATGATTGATTATAAAGCATGTTTGTTGTTATATAATATGGTCATGATTTGTGGCATGGTTTCAAATACAAATTCACAGGGTGCCCCAGGAACACCGGGTTTGCAAGGGAGTCAAGGACTACCTGGACCAAAAGTAATTTTCATTCGGACTCTTAAATAAATGGTTCCTACTACAGTCAATTTACCAGCCTCTCCATCACAGGGCTCTGAAGGACCCAAAGGGAAACCAGGGCCCACCGGGCTGATGGGACCAAAGGTAATTAAATCAAAGTCATTGTTTTGCCTTCTACAATCCATAAGGATTTCAATTTTTTGTATGTTATTTTTTGGTTAAAACTTAGGGGATTCTGGGACTTCAAGGTGAAAAGGGAGATGTCGGACAAAAAGGACCAAAGGTACCACTGTATCCATTGACTATAGACAATTGTTTTAGCATTCTTAACTTTATAAAGCATGACATAAGAAATAATAGTAAGAAAAATCTAATTGTTTGAAAAATGAAATATTTAAAAAAATCTAATTTTATTGAACCTTCAGAAGAAAACAGATCTTTTTTATTTTTTTTTATTAGTATCATATTGTATTTGCTCATGTAGTATGATTCAGGAGAATATGGAGTTCATACTCGAGAAGGAAAAAAACACCCCAGTTTTATTCAGAGGCCCAAACTGAGCAAAAATATGCAATTTGGTGCAGTAGCTGATATTTCTATGGCCAGAAATTAAGATGTAATTGGAATTATACAAAAAGGCCTTTTAAAAATATGTCAGTCAGACAACAGAAAGCATATAGTAGTTCCCTTTCATGGGAACTTCGAACTGCGTCCTCTAGGGGTCGCTATGGGGAACACCTCGTCGTGACCCGTGTCTGAAGCATACATTGAAAAAACACCAACTCGTTGGCCGGCGACAGCCATGACGTCACTACCGGTGCGAGTATAGTATAAATAGGTGCCGGGAGCACACATCATTCTCTTCTTCGTCTTCATTGACTGTTTTGTTTGAAGCGT